TCTTTTCGGAATCTATTTTGGTATACTTAAATCAAGTAAGGGCTCATTTAAAGCTTAAAACATCTACTTTCGAATGCTGAGAGCACCTTTATGAAAATTGAATAGTACGACTTTAATATGGCGGTCTAAGGCAAGGGTAAACTTTGAGTAATAGAAGAAAAAGCTTGTGAAAGTAGAAATTCTCATATTATAGTGTCTTTTTTCCGCTCAAAGTGTAAGCTGATCAAGGTCGGGAAGCGGGCCCGTAGTCGTTGTCATCGAGCAACCGCAGCTCTAGATTGGTGGGAAACTTGGCCTCTCTGGAGTCAAATACTACAAGTCAGGTCCAGAAGTTGCACTGAAAAAGGTGTGCAAATCTGATTAATCTGGATATTCATATCGGAAGAGACTAAAGGAATATTTGAAAAAATATGTTAACACTGTTTCATAGCTTACCTAAAAAAGCCAAAATATTTCAAAGCTGTAGAAAATCAACCTCCATATCACAGAATAATAAAAATTATGACAGGAATGCTATGGATTTTAATGATAATTTAGAAGATATGCCTAAAAACAAGTTTCTTTTTACAGATGCTATGGATTCTAAAGTTAAACGTGATTCACTTACTAAAACAGCTTAGGTATCTAGGGGAAAAGCACTTGAAGAATTTTTTGATGGATTAAAGAAAAAATTTAATAGTTCACCAGAGAATAGTCTTATACGAAAATCTATACTCACAATTGCTCCAGAGTGTTGGACTGCTTGTGAAATTCCAGCAGAATTTGATTGATCTTATAGAATGACTCTTCAATATGAGCATTTTAGAAAATCTAGTGGTATATTATAGCTACTCCTCCTTTAAAAAAAGGTAAGAATCTTGACAAAGAGTTAGTCTCAAAAGTGATTGTAATTTATGAGTCCTAAGAAGACAGTCGGATAATGACTAATAAATAAGATACTGTTACAGTTAAAATCAAATATAATATTAAGGTATTACGCAATATGTTTAAAGAGAAGTATCCAGAATATAAAATTGGGTCAACCAAATTTGGTGAGTTGCGTCCTTATTGGTGTATAATTGTTGGAGGTCCAGGCATGCATAGCGTTTGTAGACTTGAAAGTACTTGACTGTAAACTGGAAAACGCTAATGAAAGGTTCAGAAATCGAATTAAAGGCCTATAAAGATTGTATGAATTATATTTTGTGTAGGAAAAGTGTTACTAACTGCTATTTGCTGAGCTGTCCAGAATATCGTGGTTTAAAGAAATTTTAAGATCTTATTACTAAATTACTGGAAAAGAATATAATAGAACTAGCAGCCACGGCTTCGCCCAGAATTCACTGGACAAAACACCGAAGTGTTGACACGTAATGTAAAACATTTTCAGTTAAAAATTTTACATACATTCCCGACACTTTTGTAAACAAAAATCTTATTACTAAATTACTGGAAAAGAATATAATAGAACTAGCAGCCACGGCTTCGCCCGGAATTCACTGGACAAAACACCGAAGTGTTGACACGTAATGTAAAACATTTTCAGTTGAAAATTTTACATACATTCCCGACACTTTTGTAAACAAAAATCTTATTACTAAATTACTGGAAAAGAATATAATAGAACTAGCAGCCAAGGCTTCGCCCGGAATTCACTGGACAAAACACCGAAGTGTTGACACGTAATGTAAAACATTTTCAGTTAAAAATTTTACATACATTCCCGACACTTCTGTAAACAAAAATCTTGTTATTAAAAACATATTTCCACAAAACTTATATTCACTAATTCCAAAACTTTATTCGTTAATAAAATTACACAAAAACCCATTTCCTCTCCGTCCAGTTGTATCTTATAATATTTATCCCTCATACAAAGTATCTAAGAAATTAATTTATCTCATTTTATTTAATACACAGTTTGTATTAACTTACAGTATAAAAAAGTTCTATTGAATTAGTCAATAGAATCAAGAATATAAGTTTTCCACACAACGCCATGTTACATTCATTTGATGTTAAAACTCTTTTTCCGAGTATACCAATCCGCGAAGTACAATGTATCGTTGATAATCTATTATGCAGAAATAAAATACATGAATTAGTTCACCAAGAAATTTTATTAATATTAGAAGCAGTTCTCAGTCATAATTATTTTCAATTTCAAAATAAATTTTATTATTTAAAAGATGGTCTGATTATGGGTAACCCAATCAGTCCGTTACTTGCAGAAATATTTATAAACGATCTTGAACAAAAAATAATGTCTTATTCACTCCCTTAATATTTATTGTTTTGGCATAAATACGTAGACAAAATTATTATTTGTTGGACGGGTACTCGGAGATAGTTAGATATTTTCTTTAATTTTTTTAATAGTTTACATAGTAACATACAATTTACATTAGAAATCGAAAATAAAAACCAAATTAATTTCTTAGATCATTCGACTATCAAAAATAATGGTAGAGTTTCATTTAATTTTTATCGTGAACCTTCGTACACAGATATCATTTACAATAAATCGTTACATCCATTTTCACATAAAATGGCTGGATTTTACAGTTTTGTACATAGACTTTCAACGATATCTTTAGAGCCATCAGATTTTGACCATGAGTTGAACATTATAAAATAATTAGCATTCAATAATGGTTACAACCCGGTTATTATAGATAATATACTTAATAAAGTAAGACTGAAAAAAGCTATTGAAAACGTCTTCCCTTTGTCTGTGGCGGATGATGATTGTCGGTACCACACATTAACTTATACTGGTACACATACTTATAGAGTTACTCAATTTTTTAAACAATATGATATTAATTTAGCGTTTAAGAGAAAAAAAAATTTCCAAAAAATAATGAAAAACTAACTAAGACAAAATAATTAAAGAAAAGAAATCAGGCGTTAATAAGAGATATTGTGGCACACCAAGTTGAGATAAATTTTATTTTGGCCGAATGGGTAGAACGTTTGAAAGACAAGACAAAGAACATGTAAGTACTTTGAACAATAAGACTAACATATCAACGTATTCTTATCATTTAATAGAATGTAACCATGTTTTAAATGATCACTATGATATCTTATATAATTGCAATAAAAGTAAAAAACTAGATTTTTTAGAAGCAATGGAAATCAAGAAATTTAAAAACTCAGGCAGACTAGATCCCAGTCTCCCATCTAGACGGCCAGTTAGATCTCAATAGTTCACCTATATTAAATTTAAAACTTTAATGTTACCACTATATAAATATATGACGTATACTTATATTGTATTATTATGAATTGACTCTACATTTAGTATATATGTAATATAGCAACGCAACGTAATTTAGTTTAGTTGGAATTTAATAGCTATCTGAAAAAGGTATTGTGTACTAAAACAGATGTTATGGCAATATTTGAGTTTAAATAAAGAGTGAAGATTATAAACAGTGTGTTTTAATTGTTAAAAACTATTAATATCAATTTCGCATACAGACTTTTTAACTAGCCCTACGATGTAGTAGATAAGATTACTGATGTTAGCATCATATTTTACAGTTTGCTAACTTTCATTCTCCACGTTAACTTCTAAGGCAGAAAAATGTTTATCACGCGACTCACTAGACCGTTACAAAACTCACAATCGATTATCGATCCATACAAAACTTTAGTATCTCCCAGCTTACTATATACTACAGCTATGTGGTCTTCACTTCTGGATAATTTAACCAGTAAACTAACCAGTAAAGTAAAAAGGAAATTCACTCAAAAACATATCAGAAACTGATAACGACAAAATTAATGTCAAAAAACTTGTAAATTACAAATTTCAGACCCTTTAATAATAAAGAAGAAAAATTTAAAACCTTCATGAGGTGTGCCAATAAATTAAGGTGGGAAACAAGAGAATGCAAAAAAAAAAACGATTAGCCCCCACGCTGAGCATCTGAAAAATCTGAAACACTAGTAACAATGAACAATTGCAAAATCATCTAGAATAGTCAAGTTAAAATAGTATTATACACATACTCATGTAATTTCAAAGCTTAAGTAAAAGAGTGAATTAAGTAACGGGTCCGAAAGCGCAATAAAGCTATAAATAACGATCTCTACTTCAAGATAAGTAAGGAGCAGAAAAATCATCAGTCATTCCATAACAGCTGGTAAAGTAAAAAAAATCTAACATTAACAAAAAAAAAAACTCGATAAAAGAAGACATAGAAATGGCAAGTATACTAAGAGATAGCAAGATTAGCAAAAAACAGATTGATATGTTTTGCAGACTCTCCCAGTTTCAAATTAAATTGTATACAACAATTTCTTCAAGATAAGTAACAGGTCAATAAATGTAGTTTTTGATGACAAAGGTTTTAGAAAAAAAAAATCAGAAACTATGTACATTCCTCGCAAAACAAGGTTGAAAATAGTAGTTTTCGTCAAATAAGTGTCATCGTCTCTAGGGCTATTTTGCGACCCGAAAGACGTAAGGTAGCCGCAGAGCGATGGCGCTTATGTGGCGAATTCTATGTTTCTTACCAAGGGCACACCCGACCCTCAGAAACGCCCAAGGTCGAAATAATTTTTTTTTTATTTTGGGCGCAACGCAGCAGTTGCACTTTGCGCTCTCGAGCCACACTTTGCGCCCAGTAAATCAGTTTGTACCCATAGGCAGAAAAGCTGTTTTTAAAGTTTTTTTCCTACTCTAGACGTTTTTGAGAGGCTGGTATGCTCTTAGTAGAGAAAATAGGATTAACCACATAAGCGCCATTGTCCTGGAGATGATGACGTTTATCCGACAAAAACAACTATTAATTCCATCAAATATAATCGAATACGAGAGAAACTGATAAAAGTAAACAGAAATAGAGAAAATGTATAACTATAACAGAATTGATAAGAACTGAGAGGAAGTAAATAATACACCCCATAATTAAATTTCTTACCAAACTGAACGTTTAAATAAAGTTTAAAGCAGAGTTTTTGTATTATCTCTTACACCTAAATACAACGTAATTAAGTGATGTGTGTACCTTATGTCTAGATAGCTTAGCGACTGAAGTAATGCTACGGTTTCTGGTATCACTCTGATAGTGTTATGATGTAAATGTAATTTTTCTAGAAAAATAAATTCAGTAACTTCTTCAGGCAATTCTGTGAAGCGGTTTTTGGACAAATCTGGAAAAAAATTATGTCACATAATTATTTTATGCCAGTACTACTTTCAACAATAGAACATAATTGACGGATAAAATGATCATGGAAAAAATTGATGTAAGTAAGAAATTTTTTTTAGTTATCTTTTAATTTTTAATTCTTACTACTTATTCGTCAGAAACATGTCCTTATAAATTTAGTATAAGAACTCTTAAATACTGTGCTTATAGTACACCTAATGTAGCGTCTGCTTTGTGACAAAGAGTAAAAATGCTTTCACTGATCTAAAGTAATACCTTTGACGTAAAAAAAGCATTGTAACTTTTTTTTTAATACGCAAATTTTAATATTTTATAATAATAGTGTGTATGAATTAGCTTGAAATGTCAATAATTTTGCATGAAATTCAGACTAGCTTGAAAAAAATATATTGTAAAAAGTTAAATAAAGCCAATTGATTGGAATAATATCGAACAGAAAATATTTTTCTCTAAGACCTAAGAAAAATGGCAAACATAGTAAAACACGGTTTCAAGCACCGGAAACAGTAAACTTTTAAAAAAAAAATATAGAAGTATGCGTGGCAGAAAGACATACGAAATAAGCTCTGATTATTCCTAACTATTCTAGTGGGTTCCCAGTAAAATGCAAAAAACCTCGTTTTTTGAGGAAATATTTGAAAATTAATAACTCTTCTTGCATAAACATTAAGGACTAAAATTTGACAGAGTTGTAGCTTAAGTGATCTTCGACAACCATACCAAATTTCAGCAAGATCAGATGGATAGTTTTTGCAAACCACAGCTAAAGGAAAAAAAGTACTTTGGCAAAACGACCAAAAAAAAGTTGTTTACAATGTTAGGTGCAATTTTTTGTGGGATCATATTTTTTTATACTTACTCTACAATTTATTAAAGTATCGAATTTTTTTACAGTGTGGAAGTTGGTTATTCATCCTTGAGGTTTCGTTATTTTTAAGAGTACTTGCAGTTTGAACGTACTCGGTCAATAACACCAGAGCTGAGGTTCAGAGAGTGGACGTGGCCTATGTATCGGCGACTACGATGGTTCATTGCCCCTCACGCGCTATACTACCGTATGCGAAAAACACCCATGCAGTTTTATCATTTTTTAAATTACTTCCACACTGTAAAAAAATTCGATACTTTGGTAAGTTGTAGAGAAAGTATTGAAGAATACGATTCCACAAAAAATTGCATCTAACGTTGCAAACAACTTTTTTTAGGCCGTTTTGTCAAAGTACCTTTTTTTGCATTAGCTGCATTTAGCTGGGGTTTGCCAGAACTATCCATCCTATTTTGCTAAAATTCGTTATAGTTGTTATAGATCACTAAAGCTACAACTCTGCCAAATTTTAGCCCTTAACGTTGATACGAATAAGAGTTATTAATTTTTTAATATTTGCTCAAAAAACGAGTTTTTTTTTTGCATTTTGCAGGCAAACCACGGGACCACTTGGGATTAAGCGGAGCACATTTTGTTTGCCTTTTTGCCACGCATACTTCTATATATATATATAAGTCTCACTGGTCGTTTCTGATGCTAAAACCCGTATTTTACCATTTTTGCCATTTTTTTAGGTCTTACAGGGAAATATTTTTTGTTCGATTTTATTACAATCAATTAGCTTTGTTGAATTCTCTACAATATATTTTTTTCGAACTAGTCTCAATTTCCATTGCCGAAAACTTAATTTGATCCCACTATCAAGCCTGTACTTTAACCACATGACCTATAGCTGAGCAGGAATTAGATCACCTTTTGCGATAATTTTTTTTTACATTTACTGTCTATTAGTCAGTTAAGAAATTAGAAGTAAGAATTCGTCGTGAGAAGGCAATCTTCTTTCACTGATACATATTATTTGCATCATAATCATGGCTCTTGGTGGACTGTATTTTAAATTATCTTGACCTCATGGGAGAGGTAAAGAGGAGGTGAAACGAAAGACTCAACTCAAAGTGTAAAAGACACACCTTCAACACTTATCTGAATATTTAATAAGTAACAAAAAAAGAGCTCTTTCTCTGCTTACATAATTGTTAGTATAATGGTCGCACACTTAATATAAAGCAAGGTAAGTGTACTCGTATGTAATAATAATTTAATAATTAGGTGATGGATATTACGAGACAAGTGAATACGGTACATAAGACCACAGTGCGACTTATCAAAACAGGCGTACAGGGCAGACCACCGAGCCGCAGCAGCAATGAGCTCCAGGTACAATGTGAGTACACGGAGCGCAGCTATTGACTATTTAGTGTACGCATATGCGCTCCTTATTGGTTTAGATGTGTTTAGGCACGGCACTACTTGAAGAAATAATAAAACAATAAATAATAAGCATCAGTACAGAATTATTCATGTTGTACACAAATGTTTACCAAAAATAAAAAATAGTCTGGAATAGTGCTCAAAAATACGAAGAAAATGTTTTTGAGACCAAATCAGTCCACAACTTTTCCCACAAAAAAAATAACAACAACCGAAAACGGCCATTTTTAGACGCTTTATAACAGGGCTTCTAATGGTCCTAGACTTTTTTCTTACAAACAAAATTGTATGTAACTGTAGATATTTTTAATGCCTAGCTCTTATAGTAATTTAGTTTAATTTATTTTTTTTAAAGTTTTGCTAAGCTATCGAAAAATGCAATGCAAAATTGGGCAATTTTGCGGCTTTGGGCATCGAAGCGGGCCAGCGAAGGGGAAATGACACATGGAAGAAATGCCTCTCTGCTGCAGTGGCCAGCCTCAAGGCGAGCGCTTGAAGTGAATGTACAACTTTCAATCAGCTATGCAAAAAAAAAGAATAGTATAACTCCGAAAGTATGAGATCTGTTTTAATGTTTTTTTTTTTAAAGTGTGGTATTTCACAAAAAAATTAACAAATAGCCTATTCCTCTAATAAAACAAACCTGCACTGCAAGTTCCAATTTCGTCCTCATATAGAAGCTTCGTCATAGATACAATACTGTATATTAATCTGTTGAACTGATCTTAATAAAATATGTAATATTTTATCGAACCTTATTACATCATAATTTTGTTACCTGGTAGTTTATAGTAGTATTTTCATTCTTTAGCCTAATATAGTAAGTTTGCTCATGCAATATTTTGGAAAATTAGTAAAAACAATATGGTAATAAATATAACATATTATGGGTACAATATCGCGAAAATTCTTTTACTTACTTAACATTTACACATTATCACATTCACAGCACACTTTTTCTTTACAAAACGTAATCGTAACGTGTAATCTTAGACTTATAACATAGTTCTGAAATATTTTTTTAATTTCAAACTATTTATCATCCACTGTTGTCTCCCGCCACTCTTTCTTCCATATGTAACGTGATATCGCTCTCCAGTGATGCACAAGTGCTAAAAACCATATCCAACACTTTGTTGCCATCTTGCGCGCGCATTTGTATTATAATCGTCAACCATCACAACGATGTCGGTGTTTAAATAGTTCGCTTCGTGGCAACTAGTACAGATACTAAATTTATTACTTTTTCAAACAGCAATAATTAAAAAAAAACCACGATGAATCCATCATCATAAAACTCCTCCATGTAGTCTTTCCCATTTTTTGTACACTCTATCTTAAACAGTGACGCAAGACTACTAGTATATAACTCAATAGTTCTGAAAAAAAAAATAGTTTTATGCAAGTATGCAATATAATATTAGTTATAAAGGTTCCGTACATGGTCAAAAATTAAACGTCACATATTTATGGTGTAGGAAGAATGGGCTTGCTAGTAACATTTTTGCAAGGTGTCCCACTTTAAAAATTAAACATTAAAATTGGTCCCGTACATTCGAAGTTATACTATTTTTTTATGACACAACCAATTTGAAGCCACGCATTCACTTTCAGGCTGTTTTTGTATACTGGGCTTTTTTTGTGACTCCAGAAAATTTCGGAAGCCTCGAAGTGAAAAGTCCAGGTGAATGTTTTCGTCCTTGACGGTCAAATTAAATCGCGATGTGGAAATTATAACTATCTTGCGTCGAGGGTTTATTGATGCAGAAGAACATATGATTTCGCATGCAGTGATAACAAATAAAGGACTCTCCTAGTAATAAAGATTTCTTTCAAGACAAAGTTTATTGACCAAAGAAATTCTACTTCAAATTTACAAGAGTTAATGGTCTAGGAAAGTTCACGAGAAAAGTGTTACTCAATACAATATAAAGGCTGTCTTCTACGAGGCGACGATTCCGCCAGTCGCTCGTCAGAAGATTGCACAAAAAATCGAACGTGTCTCGATTTTTTTTTCGACTTTACACCAAAAGAAACGCTAATCATTGATAACTGTAAGTTACGACAATCAGCGAGAGACTAGCTTTTCTGTAGACTTCTCTCAAAGGATATAATTTAGCCCTTGGTGTAAAGACGCTGCCAATGAACTCTATGTCGAAGGAAGGACTGCTTCGCGGGAGCGTCAGATCGCTTCAACGGTCAAAAAGCAAGAAAAATAAGGCAGCACTTGTGCTGGGCAACCGAGCGCCGAAAAGGATACAACGCGTAATTACAAAAAGGGGAGAAACTCGCGCACAGAGAGTCAATTCACTCTATATACGCACGCGAATGTCCCCACCTTAATTCTCAAGCAATCCATCCTCTTTACGCTAAAGGGCTAGCTATATAGAGAAGCCAGCCTAAATTTTTACTCTTAAATAAACGCAGGCACTCGCCTACTTGAGCCTAGCCAGTGCAGCAGAGAGGTTTCCCCCACCATGCGTCCTTTTTTTTTACTGGCCCGGCTCAGCACCCGAAGCCGTAATTTACGCCATCTTGCAACACATTTTTCGACGGCTCGTCGATATGAGTATTTTACGTGATAATTGTGTAGTAGAGAAACATCTCCAGAATACTTATAGGTTTGGAAAATTGAATTAAGATCATTTTTGGCGATTTTTCTGCCACTTTCACGAAACACCTTATTTTACATTTTTGAAAATTATGGTGAAAAACTAAACAAATTTTCATCTAAATTTTTATCAGAGGTGAGTGTTACAAATACCTACAATCAGAGCCCCAAAAAAGGTTCTTAGAACCATTAGAAGCCCTATAATTAATTGTCCGAAAATGGTCAATTTCGGTGGTTTTAATTTTTTTTGTGGGAGAAGTTAAGGACCAACTTGGACTCAAAAATACTCACTTTCTTTGTCTTTTCATGGAATCGAATACGCTAACTTGCTTGTACTAAGGGATTGTGGGTTTAAATCTCATCAAAATATCTAGATTTTATTTTAGGCTTCTTAGATATATTAAATACCCAGGATGCCAAAAAACTACTTGTACATAGCTTTTTAGATAAAATAGGTAATATTTCTGAAAGATATCTGGACCATTGGGGCTTTATGTCTGTGACAAGATAATACCTAGCCAGCTCATATACAAAACAGTATTTAGTAGGATGGACGTCTGAGTTATCTAAAGGGGGAGCTTTACGAGCATTGAGTGTTTTCACAAAAAAACTCACATGATTGAATGAAAAGAGGAGAATTAGCAAAAAAAATTAAGGTTAAGAGGGGCAGAGATTTAAGATATGTAAGAATTCAGCAATGGATAGATTTGAAATTGAAGACAATGAAGTACAATACTTGGGGACACAAGACATGTGATGTATTCAAATTTTAGTACTTAAAATTTATAAGAGCATGAGTAAGTCTTTAAAAATCACAGCAAAAACCATTTTTCTTTTGTAATTTGCAAATTAAAAAATAGGTTGAATTCTACTAAGGTATTAGTTTTCGATTTTTGTTGTGCATGCCTTAAAAACAAAAAAACCTGTTTTCCCTTTTTTTGTCCTCGTTTGAGCCTTTGATGACATTTTTAGCTGCTTCAATTTACTACCGTTGTTATAAATCCTAACAATATTAAAAAAAGAAAGTATTTTTATACATTATGAAAATTTTATACTCAAATAAGCAGGTTTTAATACCAACGTATACGTTGACATGCAAACCAGTTTATCCTCATCTAAAGTTTTTAAAATATTTAAAAACCTTGGAAAGATAGGAATGAAATTATTTTGTTCCTAACTGTCTGAAGTTTTCAAATGTTTCAAAAACTTAGGATTTAGATAACCAGGTTTCGATGTCCACGCTACCGTAGCATCAAGCGCAATTGGCTATTTCAGCATATTTAAAAAAAATAACAATGGACTATATTTTACTACTTTTGCATGTATTTGGTTATTTCATTTAATCAATCCTGATTTTAGAATCAAGTAAGCATTTATCAGTTTTCTATCAGAAGCCAAAAAGTC